CCTGCCTAGAATACTATCTGGCCTTTTTCGGGGAATATTTGCAGACCCCTAGCATAAACAGTGCTCCCAAGGTAAGACAGTGGCTAGTGAAATAGATGAACCTATTTAAGGATATAACTTTCTACAAATTGCAGCTTTCATGATGAAATTTTTTTGCCCTTGAATGTATTTGGGATGTTGTGTTATAAAACTGTCTAACACATTAAAAGTTTCAAAAACACTTAACCCGTGATTAATGTAATGCTAGTTTATGTCATCGCTTTTGATGGAAGATTAAAGCTTGGAAACAGTCCTCTGAAAAATCCTTTAAAACATCTGTTCTTTCAGGTGCGTCAGCAATTTCCTGCTCCTCTTGGTTGGTCAGGCACTGAAGCTCCTACACAGGTCACTGTTGAAACTCATCCTGTTCAAGAAACAACCTTTCATGTAGCCCCTCAACAGAATGCATTGCATCATCACCATGGTAACAGTTCCCATCACCATCACCACCACCACCACCATCACCACCACCATGGACAACAAGCCTTGGGTAACCGGACCAGGCCAAGGGTCTACAATTCTCCAACGAATAGCTCCTCTACCCAAGATTCTATGGAGGTTGGCCACAGTCACCACTCCATGACATCCCTGTCTTCCTCAACGACTTCTTCCTCGACATCTTCCTCCTCTACTGGTAATCAAGGCAATCAGGCCTACCAGAATCGCCCAGTGGCTGCTAATACCTTGGACTTTGGACAGAATGGAGCTATGGACGTTAATTTGACCGTCTACTCCAATCCCCGCCAAGAGACTGGCATAGCTGGACATCCAACTTACCAATTTTCTGCTAATACAGGTCCTGCACATTACATGACTGAAGGACATCTGACAATGAGGCAAGGGGCTGATAGAGAAGAGTCCCCCATGACAGGAGTTTGTGTGCAACAGAGTCCTGTAGCTAGCTCGTGACTACATTGAAACTTGAGTTTGTTTCTTGTGTGTTTTTATAGAAGTGGTGTTTTTTTTCCAAAAACAAAGTGCAAAGCTGCTTGAATCAGAAGGAGATTAACACACTGAACCGCTACAAGAGGGCAAAGCTGACTTTTTTTTTTTTTAACTTGAAAAGATTGCAAAGGGACATTGAAGTGTTTAAAAGAGCCATGTCCAAACCCATCTTCATGGATAGCTCAGAGGTATCCTCTTTTTGCTCCCCCATTTTAACTTGCCACATCCCAGTCATAGTGGGTTTTTTTTGTCTTTCTATTCAGCAAAAATATTCAGATGTTGGTCTTGGTCATCTGCCAACTAATTTTAAAATAAAAGGCACTGCACATAATTTGCATAAAGGGCCCATGAGGGTGTTTTTTTTTCTTTTTGTCCCCCCCACTATTTTTTTGTTCTGTTTTGTTTTGGGTGGGAGGGTGGGAAATTTGGGTTTTTAAGTCCTCTAAACACACTTGGGCACGGAAATGCAGTACTGTAAGGAAGAGGGACCTCCAGCTTCCACAAACACCATCTTCAGCTGTATGAAAGGGACGGTTGTGTTGAAGTTTGTCAGGCACAGTAAGCATGCTGAGTGGCGGGGATCAGAACTCTCCTATCTGAACCTACTGAGGATCAAAGCAGCAATTACATGGGATCCTGTGGCTCTCCTGTTGTAGAGGCCACAGGAAGATAGGATGGAACGTGACTGGTCTCCTAACCAAGGTGCACTGAGAAGCAATCAACGGGTCAGTCGTGGCCAGTCCTGGGGAGGTCTGAGTGGTGGTCTTTGGGATAACCTTTGGCCTTATGGATTTGGACTCGAAATTAGAAGAGCCTACCATTTCAGATGCAATCACTTTTGGACATGCTTTTGCAGACAGTCCTTAATGCTGAAAACACAGAGAATGGGTAATTCAAGAGGCCTTTCTTTTAAAATAGACTTTTGTGACCCACTAATTGTAAGGTATTGCAAGGTCACTTTGCGTGTGTCATAAAGTTGACTTCCTTATTGGTTGAAGGTCACAGAAGTAGTGGTTTGCTTTGATGGAAATAGCTACAGCTGTGTCCCTTCCTGCTTTTTACTTTTTCTTTTGCTTTTTCTCGGCACGTGGTATCTCCACCATTTCTTCTGCACAAAGATGTCTTCTGTTCATCCTGAACATTTTTAAAAAATGCAGAATTTTATGTGACTGCTTTTTTGCCTCACAATTATGCTGTGAATTTTACAAAAATTTATTTTCTTTTTTGATAATTTATTGTACCAAAGCTGTTTTTATAGCACATAGATGTCTGTAACCAATAATGTAGCAGTTCTGCACTTTGACACAAGGTGTAACTAGACCATTTTTAAATGTCAGTTGAAAATTATGGCTGTACTATTGCTTAAACAAAACTGGAACTGTTGTTGAATCCATAGCCAATACATTTACAGCAATCTGTGTACTGAACATAATAGATTGACATCTAATTCAAGATTACAACATCTGTTACATTCTAAGTGTGTTCAGGCTTCTGAAGGTAAAGGGACACTGGATCCAGAAGCTATGGAACCAGCAGTTGATTCTTGTATTCCTGATTAACCTACTTGTAAACTTGAAAGCAAGACCTTGATTGCACCAACAGGTCCAGAGTATGAGCGCAAGTAAAGCAGAACTCTCATGCGTGACCTGAGCAGACAGGCTGGTATTATTAACAGGTGCCTCGTGTTGGGATTACGCTGCCTTAATGTAACACAGTCTGGCAGTTGCTAAATTTGTGTTCCCATTTTAAATTGACCAATTTTGGGGTGTGACACTTTTGAGCGGTTGAATTGGGAGAATGAAGTAATTTACCTGTCCAGGATCAAAAGAAGCCTAGAAAAGAAGCAGTAATCTACCTCTGCCGCTAACCTGTTTAAGACGACTCAGCAGAACACCGCCTTTCATTCTATTGGGCAATTCCATGTGGCTGACTAGGTCAATTTTTTTTCTGAACAAAAGCAGGTTTTTATATGTAAACAGTGACAAAAGAAAGGCTAAACACTATGTAAATGTGAATGGAAACTTGGAAATATTCATTTTTATAAACTACAGAAATTTTTTGTTGTTTATCAGGAAATCCATATTTATTTTGTAATTAACTGTCAAGCCTGTGGATGATTTTTTTGAACTTGGTAGTTCTTAAAGGTTTACAGTGAATAAAAGGATATCATCTTGAGTATAGCAATATCAAAAGGAATTCAGTAGTTACTGCTGTTTAGGAATATAAGGTTAAGATATCATATGGGTCAGGTCATTTTTTTTCTGTGCTGGTTGCCACATCTTAGCAAGCACCAAAAAACTAAAGCAGTTTTTAAACCGATATTTACATAAAGAAAATCATAAAATCCAATGCTTCTGCATACTGTGTTATGTTACAGTCCAGTTTTGTGTGCTTTACTACACAGTTTGGTTACAGGACTTCTGTGCATTGTAAACATAAACAGCATGGAAAAGGTGAAATACCTGTGTTCAGATTGTAAGATCTAGTCCGGACTTGCTGTGTATATTGTAACGTTAAATGAAAAAAGAACCCCCCTTTGTATTATAGTCATGCGGTCTTATGTATGATAAACAGTTGAATAATTTGTCCTCAGACTCTTTACTATGCTTTTTTAAAATTAATTTAAGAAAAATGTAAACATAGTAAAAATCTTCCTATGCAATTAACCTGGTCCAGGTCTGGTAGGTATACTATCAAAGTTGAGTTAAATGTGTAAAAAGGAAACTATTTGAGATACATCGACATAGGCATCAGCAATCTCTGAAAGTAAAAATTGGAGGTTTAACAGATCATTTTGATTTTTCACATTGATTTTTTTATTTGAATGCTTACATAATATTTTTGTGGTTCAAAATGCTAGTGTTTTAGTTGGTAGCATTTAGAATGGATGGTGAAGGTCTGGTGGTTTTCTCTGATACGCTTTGACGTGCTTGGATGAAAGAGGGAATACGAATACTCATTCTTCCTTCCCCAAATCTTCATATGGGGACATATCAGAATTCTAGAATTCTTGCCACTGTGATTCAGTTGGTAACCTAAAGTCTTCTCTTCTTACAAATTAACCTGTTTCAGTATATATTAAGGTGGCTTTCAAAAGGTAAGATACTTACTTAAAAGTTAAGTGTGAGTCTGTAAAATTAAGGTTGGTTGCGTAAAGTTGAAGTTAACCACATGTAAGAAAGGAAAACTTACATTAGTTTTATTTCTTAGGGTGTGAGAATTTTACCTCGGTAAAGGGCACATTTTATGATATTGGGCTGAAAAAAAAAAAACACGACTTATTTTTATTTAAAACTACATGTAGAAAATCATGAAAGATTCAGTAATTGTGTTAGGCCCACAAGTGACCATTGAGCTTGCCCCTGTACTGCTTCCCAGCTTTTGTGGTGGTGAACTTAACTGTTCTGTTCTTCCAGCAGGGAGATACATAATCAAAATACACGTGAAGATGAGATAGCAGGCACTCAGTTCTAGGCCAGTTTCTCAGTTTCCTTTGGGCCTGCCTTTATTTTGATAGCCCTCAGAATACAAGTTCAGACGTGGTCCGGCGCATTCCAGGTGGTATCTCCATAGACACAAGTTCAAGACTCATTTTTATGTTCCTTTTTATAGTGGTAGACTGTATGTAATCAACCGGATGGTTCATTCCAAATACGTGACTTGGTCTTAGTGCCATATATGAAGGAAGTTTGAAAATGTAATGGGGACAAAAGCTGTGTGTGACTTCGGTATACCCAGACTTTATTCAGATTTCTTAAAAATCTGCTAGGGATGTCTGTTGACCAGACGTTGGAAAACCTTTGGTGTCAGGGACAGTAGAGCAGAAGTTCTGATTTTCTAACCCTGGCTCCTTATCTAGGCCTGTTTCCTTGGATGAAAACATACATCATCAAGTAATTTGTGGTACAAAGAACAAGAGAAGAAACCCTAAGAAGACAGCTTATTTGTTATCCTCCCTTTTTATGACTAACCTTAATCCCAGTGAATCCACTGAGAACCAGCCTGTGGATGCCTGCTGGGCTTTCACACTGGGCCAGGAATGTTTGACGTATATCTGTGTTGAAAGCACTGGATGCTTGTTTGGTGGAAGACGTGTGCACTGAGGTAAGTGGCTCATCGCTTGCTGTGTTTGGCTCGCTCTCCAGCATTATACATAGCCAAGGTCCCAGATTTTGACTGCTCTCAGTGGGTGTTCTTGCATCAGAACTTTTAAAAAATAACACTACCTTAACACTGAGACTGTCAGGTGTTTGTCAGTATTTACTTCTAATTTCCTACTTTAAACCTTAAGAGACAAGGTATTTCTCCAACTGGACACTGATTTGAAAGACAATAACTAGAATGCTACAGGTCTCTCTTCCAGTATGCGGCTGCTTTACCTGAAAACTTTTCCCCATAATTTCTCATCTTTAGGGTATGTCCCTATTATTAAAAAAACAAAACAAAACAAATGTGGAATTAATGTGGGTAAATTTCCATTTCAGTTGAATTTCCTGCCATCCGCAGCAAAACCTGTGAATGCTTCTTCAAAGCATTGAGGAGGCAGAGACAAGCCTTAAACCAGCTTCCTTCTGCTCTTACCAGGTAGCCTGGTTCAGTCCCAGCTGGGTCCTGAAGGAGCACAGTACTAGAGTCTGAGTCATGTTGATGAATAAAGTGCATTAAGTTTGGGTCAGGCAAAATGGTGGCAAAAGTTCATGATGCAGGACAGAGGAAACAAGTGGACAAGACAAGTGGAGCCCAACTCTGTTCCAAAGGGAGGCCAGGCGATGCTGTCATGGGCATGGTCGGCCGAGTTCTCATAGCTAGAGAAAGGCCGTGTAGGTATTAGAGCTTAACGTGTCATCTGTTCGAAAGACCAGCTATTTTATAATCTTTCCGATTAAATTTCTGAAATTGCTACCTTGGGGATTTTTTTCTTTATTCCTAGGAAGTTTTACTTCCATTATATACTCATTCATTAGTCAGTGTACTTGCCCCTGAATTCCGTATCTGAAACTGCAGTCCAGGCAGAGATTCAGAGCCAAGGGCAAAATGAAGTGGCAGGCGCTGGGTATGTGTGGTAGTTCTGCACTAGGGCGGCCAGGAAGCAACCAAGCAGGTGTGCCGGGTGGGGGATTATTAACGAACACCCAGGCAAGAAGACGGGCCTGAGCCTGAGTGTGGTCAGCAGAAAGTGTTTTGCTTAAAAGAGACCCTGGGATGATGACCCGGGAATCATCCTCCACTCACTGTTACACAGAAAGACTGCAGAGAAGGGCACTGCTGGGGTGGGGTTTGTTCACTCCCTCTGAAATGAAAGAAAATACCTCTAGTGGCATGAAACGGTTAAGTTTTTTTAATGTTATTTCTTTTTTAGAGACGGTGTCTGGCTTTGTCACACAAGCTGGAGTTTAGTGGTGTGATCGCAGTTCACTGCAGCCTTAAACAACTGGGCTCCAGTGATCCTCCCATCTCAGCCTCCCAAGTAGCTGGGACTACCGGTGTACAACCACCATGCCTGGCTAATGTTTTTAATATGGGGTTTTGCTGAGTTGCTCAGGCGGTACTCAAACTCCTGGCCTCAAGTGATCCTCCGGCCTGGGCCTCTCAAACATAAATAGGCTGGGCATGGTGGCTCACGTCTGTAAAGATTTAAAGCGGAATGCAGTGAAATAGCATGAGAAAGAGCGTTTTAATGGACATCACAGACAAGCCTTGTTCCGCTGAAGAGGTGATGCTGCGAGGTGGGCTGGAGCTCACTTCAGGCACCACTCCCACTTCCATTGCCCGCAAATCCAAGAAAGAAAGGACTAATGAACTGTAGTGATCTCAGACTGCTAAATCAGTTTAAAATCATCAATTTAAAATGACTTTCCAACCTTGCTGCACTTTAAACTCATCTGTAGAACTTGATAAAACCACAGATGCCCATCACACTGGCAGAATTTTAGATTCAGAGTTGGGGTGGGCCTGGAGCTGTTTCCTGAAGCTTTGCGGGCGATTCTGAACCTGCAGCCAGGCAGGACTCTGGCAAGAAGAGGCATGTGGCTAATCTGACGGAAGTCTGAATCCAAGAAATTTTTTTTTTTGAGACAGTCTTGCTCTTGTCTCCCAGGTTGGTGTGCAGGGGTGCGATCTCAGTTCACTGCAACCTCCGTTTCCCAGATTTAAGCGATTCTCGTGCCTCAGCCTCCCAAGTAGCTGGGATTACAGGTGCACACCATACCAAGCTAATTTTTAGATTTTTGGTAGATATAGGGGTTTCGCCATGTTGGCCAGGCTGGTCTTGAATTCCTGACTTCAAGCTATCCACCCACCTCGGCCTCCCAAAGTGCTGGGATTACAGGCATGAGCTACCACTCCCAGCCCCAAGAACATCTTGAAATGGAGTTTGATTACCAAAGTTTACATAGAGTAATGGAAAATTAAAATTTACAATTTATGGTGCATTACGAAATGTTATAAACAAGCCTTCGAGAAAGGCAGAAATTGCCAGATGTAAGTATGTAAAACTTACACAATTTGTTCCTTTTTGTCTTCTTCCTTGTGGAGATGGGTCAGTGTGACATCCTATTCATTAATAGCTCTCAGATGTCCCACAAGAATGGTACACGTTATTTCCCAACAGTGGGAATGGAATTGGTTCCTTTATGTCTCAGTCTCATTTGGTCTTGTAAGCCCATGAAGGGTTTCCTAGGGCACCAGCCACCAGCTCTGTAGAATCCCAAAGAGGTTCAGATCCCACTGCTCCTCTTGTTGGCTTCGTGACCCTGGGCACGCTGCTTTACTTGCCCAAGGATCACTCTACTCTTGATGAAGATATCCATAATGTCCACTTAGGAGATACTGTGCGTGCCTCAGTGAGGTAATGTCCACAGAAAGCACAATGCCTAGTATATAAGAAGTGTCCAATAAATACAATACGTGGCTATACAGAGTGGAGTCCACAGCCTAAATGGAACTTCCTATTTCTTCGTAAATACAACAAACGGTGCAGGAAAATGGGGTGGTGGGCAGTGTTCTCCGTGGAGAGCTAAACAGCATTGCTTTCCAGCCGACTCTTATATTTGGAGTCTGGGACTAGGTGTTAACATTACTAGTTGGTTTTGCATCCTGCACAGTCCCTGTATCTATTTCAGAATTTTGAGGTTTGTTGTGGGGAGTTTTTGGGTAGTTTGCTTTGCTTGATAAAATATATGATATTTAAATGTTGTACAAGGATGGGTTTTCAGTAGAATTTTTCTATGCAACCTCAGGGAGACTGCCTGGAGGAGTAACTATGGTAAGGGTCTATTTTTGGACAAGCATTGTCATTAGACCCTTGTGATCACTTGTCCAGGGGCTGGTCCCCACCCTTTGCTCCCACTCCAAGGAAAGTCTGTTCCATGTTTAGCCTTCAGAGGTTTGATGCAGATCAGGGAGAGAAGAGGGTGACAAAAATCAGCTCTAAGTTTATAAATGAAAGAGGGATATTACCGGGGAAGCTTTTGGAATGTAATAGGTTGTAACCCACATTTTGAAAGCAGTAAGGAACTAATTGCTGCCTTTTTCTTCTCCTTTTTTATTCTGTTGACTTTGTTGATAATATTAGGTGACTCCATGGAGCCTGGGTTCTCTCAGTGTCAGCCTGTTATTCCTAAAGTATCCTCTCCTCCTTATATCAAATATAAGGACAAAAATGTCTCAGGATAAAAGTCTGTTTGTTTGCATTAGACTACACATGATTACAATGTAATCATGTATATTATTACAACAGGCCATGGATTTGGATGGATGATGAAGCGGAAACAAGGGATCTAATCATGGGACGTAACTGCTCACCTCAGGTAGATAAAAGTACTTCTGGGACAAGTAAATTAGACAAGCTTTTGTGCTTCCCAGCACCTCTGGGTCTTGTGCCTGGCCAGTCTGGGCAGCTCTGCGCTCAGAGGCCTTCGGCACGATGGGTCCTCCCAGCACGGGCTTCAGCGCTCACCGCTGGATGAGATCTACAGGGCTCAGTGTGCTTGGAGTCCTGGATTCCTCCATGGCCCTGGATTGTGACTGCTACTGTATTCCAATTGAGTGGTTTTTGCTGTTCACAGAGCGCTTACATGGGATTCTTACCTTCTGACTGGAGTGTCACCCTTACGCAAGAATGTGGAGATGACGGGCTGGGACGGGCTGCCTCCTTCTGTAGGTGGATGTTTCTGAAGGCATCTCCCACTGATCATGTAATGCAGCTACTTAACATCTTCTGTAGTCTTGAAGAATTCAGATTAGGAGCTTGTCCAGGGAGGGCTCCCACGTGCGTATTCACTAATTGTGGTCTTTCTTGCCAGCTCGGTTTTGTCTGTGGATTAGAGTTCTGACCATCTTCACTAGAAGTGGGGGCAGCTAGCAATGACTAGATGCAAGAAGCAAAAGAGTAAACTTCATTTTACTGGCAAAATTAAAACAGTGAACTTGAAATATCTCCCCTACTTCCTGCAGAGACACTGAATCAAAGAAAGCAATCAGTACTAACCCCGGAAACAATTGAGAAATGAACAAAAAGTCCTACCCTGAAGAAAAAGAATGTCTTATCAGCAAAGGGTTTCGGGGCAGCTGGTGTGAGGACTGTATAAGAGAAATCAACAAATATTAATTGAACACCAGTCATGTGCAAAGAACTTAGCTAGGTCTTAAGAATGAGGACAAAAAGCATGTCACATTTTGTTCTTACAAGTGGGAAAGATAAGTAATTACAAGTAAGCCAAGTGTTTAAAAGAGTGTGAACAGAGACGTTATTCTAACCCAGAGAGGCTGTAAAGTGCTGTTTTCCCAAGGAACTAAAGTTCTAGCTGATACCTAATGGAGGAATGGGTGTTAACCAGGTGGCAATGCTCTAGAACCTAGGAGAAGACAACAGGCCATTCGAAGGTGAGGAGACTTGCCAGCATCAGTTTATAAGTTAATAGAGTCAAGAGCTATTTAGCAAGGAGGGCTGACAGACCTCAGGGACTGAATGGATTCTGGGAGCAGGGGTGAAAAGGAGAGGAGTCAGGTTTCCTCTCAGTTCTAGGACTTTGAGTGCTAAGGGCTTGTAGGAGAACTATGTGGAGATGTCTGGTAGGCATCTAGAATGGGTGGAGGAGGGGAAAGTCAGGCCTGAGAATGGCCAGTTTTTGGTCATTCTCATATGGGCAACTGATGGTGAATGGGATGATCTAAAGGGAGATGGGAGGAGAGCCTAGGACACTTAAATAAGACAAACTTGTATGTTCTAAAAATGAGCATCATTGCAGCTTTCTCAACCCTAGGATGGTTTTCAGATGTATCAAGGGATAGAAGATTGTCCAGCCCCTTGCTGCCCAGTGTGGTCAGTGGACCGGCAACATTAGCATCACCTGGGTGTTTGCTGGCAATGCAGAATCTCAGGCTCCAGCGCAGACCACTAGATGAGAATCTGCATTTAAACAAGGTACCCAGGTCATTCATGCACGTTAGAAGTCTGAGAGACACTGCCCCAACACCCGACTTTAGAGTGAGAAAACAATGGGTTTAAGCAACTTGCAGAAAATGACACAACTGACCAGCGGCAAGCTGTCTTCTAGTCAGGCCTCTTTCCAGTTCTCCATGCTGACCTTGACTTTCGAGATCACATACCAAGACCTTCAGCTGGATGGTCCCTGTAGCTGCTGTGACCACTAGAAGGAGAGTTAGGGGTGAGACTAATTTAATATCAATTTAGGCTTAGGGTTAGGGAAAATGTAGTGAAGGATGACTATATTGTCCTAATGAACCACAATGGTGCCTACAACATTTTTATTTTGGCAAACCTTCCATGAATTTGGAGATGTTGATCAGGTTTCTCTCCAACAATCTTGTTTAATTGTGAAACTAGAATCACTTCCAGGAAGCTCTGAAGAATCAGGTCTGAGTGATGCAAGCTGCTTCCT